AATCAATTTTTTTTTCACGAAACAGCTAACAAATTCTACAAATGATGAAGAACTTCTGATTATTAGCAAAGGATGTTGATTTGAAGTAGAGGAAGAGGTCGAAATTACCACAGTTGAATGAAATCTTCAGAATCGCCCCCCTTTCTCTCGCACAGATTAGGGTTGCAATGAAGGCAAATGTTGTTTATATACGGGGCAAACAAGTGTGCAAAGATGGGTTGGCATTCCATACCCAACCCCCTCGGGAATCAATTACCCACTTAAAAGTGGGCAAACTGGGTCACGTGCGGGTAAACCGACAAACCGTGCCCGGGCAAATACTAAGAATTCAAACAGCGGTATAAAACTTAAAAACGTCCAAATAGGGCTTTGCCAGTGGACAAAACGGAATTCAAACAGGCACAATGGGAATTCATCCGGACTAGAGGACAGTCCATTGAGTACGCTCTAGTCCTTGAGATGGTAAAACTGAACATTATCAATCATTGTAGCAAATGATATTCAACGAACTATTATTTGTTGTTATCTTTTATCTAGACTTCCTTGATATAGAAATATTGATTCAATGGTATGGTTTTATGGAGGCTAGAAGTGGGATATTTTTACAAAGAAGACAACAAAAGATGATATGACTTACATGCATGTTCACGTTAGTTTGGTCACTCATTTATTGGATCACATTTGCGGAATAAAGTTTTCTAGGTCAGGTATGGAATGGGTCTTACCAATTTGTAATTGATTTCTTCTATGATGGAAAAGAGGTAGAGGGGGAGAGGAGAGAGAAGATGATGGCCGTATTGATTTTCTTTGAAATTTAAGGTGGGTAGACAAGATGAAGTTGTGTATGAAGAAGGTGAAGTTGTCATGGTCAAGTTTTGTTGCTCAATATAAACTAGTTGTTTGTGCTTTGATTTAAATTATCACATAAATAATCCATTTGTGTAGCTTGTCAATGACTGTTTAAACCATCAAAGTGGAATGTGAAAGTTATATTTGTTGGGCCTAATAATTCTTAACTAACTATCCCCAGGTTTGTTCTCAGTCCAGAGGTCACACCACAAGAACCCCATGGGGTTGTACCAAGGGGTTTTGTACTGCTGTGGATATTCCTAACGACAGGTGTGGTTTCAAACACAGATTTCATATGACAAATATAATATTACAACTATCGTATACTAATGTTTGTATTACAAATGATCTTTAGATATATTTTTATCTAAAATTGTAATATTGTTTATTAATGTTGCAGTTGGACAATACTTGCATTGTTGGAGAAATTTGGATGTCAATGGTGGATTGGGACTTGTGATGGTGTAGCATTTAATGACTCATCTGAGTTTGGTCATTATTTAATGTGCTATAAAAAAGTTGGTAGGGTGTATCTAGAATGCCGTGTGCATTGGGGTTATAAAGCTGTTACTGCTGAAGCACATAACCAGATCCTCTCCGAACTCAATGCATTTCTTCTACTGTTGCAGACAGCGCGAAAAAAGAATGTTAAGTATCTAATCATACGTTCTGATTCTGAATCAGCTGTCGATATCGTTACAACAATTTGGAAAAAGGATTCAGTTAACTTTGCCACTCGAAAACAGAAAGCTGGGTTTCCAAGTCTTCTTCGTATGATTCATAAAGAGATGAGATTTCTTTGGAATTTTGTTTGTATTCACATTCATAAAGACAATAATCTATTAGCAAATGCCATTTCTAGATTACCAACGCATATGAAGTATCTCCAACCTCCAATTGATGCAAGGAAAGTGAAGAGGGCCGACCCCTTATGTGAAGTCAACTTTGAAGGCATGTTGTTTGAAAAGCTTCATATGGTTTTTTGTGAACAACGTTGAGGTATGTGCTGATAAGATAAAGAGATGGTGAACTGATGTAGGCATAGGAAATTGTTGTTAGGTTCTTTTGTAAA